CATTCCCACTAACTAACTCTCTGTCCCTGTCCTTTTCTCGGTCTCTCCTACTCGCACACACTTTTGCAGTTAGCCTGCATTGGTGTATTGTCCTGCTGCTTCCTCTTCTTCAACTGCTTGAATTTCACTCAAGTTAGAATCTCTCCTCGCTCGCCCCCTCCCTTCTCACGGCCTAGCCCAAAGAGCTTGTTGTTGTGATACTAGTGCTGTGTGTTGTATATTCTGTGTGTAGCTTTTCAACTGGCTGCTCGGCTGCTGATGCTGCTGTTGCCGTGGTTGTTGTTGCGGGGCACTACAGCTGCTGCTACTCCTTTTTGCTGCACGCGCCGCCTCGGTTAGCACGTGCTGTTGGCCACGACGTCAGTCAACGACAACCGCCTACGCACTGCAGGCGCCGAATCAGCGACGCTGGAATTTCAATTACAATTTTCACAGACTCAGACAGCCTCTCTCTCTCGGGCCATGGTGAGTTTGCCGGTAGAAAGAGAGCGCTTCAAGCTGAGCCTGTAGCTTAATTTCCAAGGCATCCGAAGTTTTTGCAACAGATAAGTGGATTATTTAAAAGCTTATTGCTTTCACTTACAGTTGAAAGTTAAAGGCAAGTGTTTTGGTTAGGTACCTTCAAAGAAAGGCTAACAAATAAAGCAGGTAAAATTCCATACACGAGGTAACATCCACAAAATGTCAAGAATTTCCGTTATTTAAAATTATGAATACTTTTATTAATATTACAAATAAACATCTACTCGGCTTTAAATAAAATTGAAAGTCACACATTCTTTATGGAGGAACATTAAATAATATATTATGAAAAATTACGTATACGACTAGTTGCGTATACGACGTAGCGAAATAAAAATGAAATCGAAGTTTAAGTAACCTTAATGGTTTTCATTACGTAATTAAAGACTATTATATTTCTACATATCGTAAACATGTTTAATTCAGCTCTACATGCATAATATTTTTTCTATAACCTCTTAACCTTAATCATTAAAAAATTTGTCTAAGGACATATCCATTTCACCTTCCTCAGATGAAAACTGAAACATTACAAGATCATTTTCTAAAAATTCATTTGATATATATTATTTACTACAGATGTATTTCCTAAATATTCTCTCTTGAAGCAAAAGAGAGTGCAAGGCGAAGAGATAGAAAGCGAGCACCGAACTCACCACACCTGGATGGCTGTGGAAGGAAAGTGAAAGCCATTTGCCGGCTGACAGCTGGCTACCCTCCCCTCCACAGACTCTCCGCCCACCACCCCCGTCAAGGTGAGTGAGCAAGGCGGTGATGAGGAGGCTTGAGGGGGTACCATCCCCCTTCACCTCTGCTCGAATAATGCGCTTTGTGTGCGAATTAAGATTCCATGTTGTTGGTTCCTACTACAGTGTGGTGTATTTGCGTTTGCATTTGTGTGTGTTTTTCCTTTAGCGCGTTTATCCCTCTTTTTCACTCGCCCTCTCTTTCTAGTATCGCACTCCCAGCTGAGCAAAAACTAAAAACAAAGGATAACGCAACAACAAGTGAGAAAGCCATAAATTTAGCCAACGGTTAACAGGTGCAATTGAATTGTTCGCCCTTAGAGGCAGATTAATGCACAGAATTGCGACGCCTGAGTACAAGAGTACAAGAAAATAGTTATCTAATGGTTATCTAGATCACCGGAAAACCTATACCTAAGATGGTGGACAGATTTTGTGTGATTTTTGAACGTATTCACTAATGCGCTAATTACCCCCAGCAGATATCCCTACCGCCGACCCTTTGGCCTACTCACCGCCAAATCCTTGCTAGTCTGCTGCAACTGGAGCGCCGAGGTCCTCGAAGTGCACTGCTCGACCGTCAGGGCCCAATTCAAAGTTACGGCCAAAAGCGACGGCCCAGAGCGGCCGCTAATCGAAATTCCGCAACGGAGTGTCGGGTACGGTGGAAATTTATGCAGAAATGCGAGCTGTGAGTCAGCGGGATTTCTGCGAGGGAAAACTGAGTGACGCGCTGTCAGCGGAGCTCGGAAAACTCCGTTGGCAGGACAGCCTGTTGCATGCCACCCGACGACCACCCACAGACCAGCACCCACAACCCACTTCGGATGAGTGGCAGCTCGGCGTGGCGTTAATAAGCCTTCTCCGACGAAAATCCCCCACAGAACCACTTGAATCGGGAGTGCCTACTATGCTGTTGTTTAATGAAAGCTTTCATCACAAATGTCCATTAGCTTTGAGTCTACGCAAACAGTTTGGCCCTTGGAAAACCCCAAATGGTTAATCACACTACTGCCCAGCACAAGAAAGCAAATTATTCGGCCTTTAAACACTGTGAGCCCTACAAGCCTCTTCCAATGTTGGACCACTTTGTAGGTTGTTGCAAGCATTAAACCTCACGCTCTAGCGAACTTTATTCTAACTACTTAAAAAAAAAACCAAAGTTTTTGTTTAAAATATTTCAATATTGTTGGAAAAATGTGTATTTTTAGTGTATGGCACTAACATATAATTGATCTTGCATTTTAATCATTCTATATCTTTAAAAAAAAAGAATAATTCATTCAAAGGGGTATTTTACATTTTAGACCACAAACGAAAAGGCTTAAATTACAATGGATATAATGGATATCTGTCACAGAGATATTTAAAATTAACAGGTTGGAATTTTCGACTAAATGATACCCGTTGCTGAGATAGTGCGACGAAGAAATTTACAAGTTATTTTTGCATATCGATCTGCCTGTCCGCATAAACGCTGTAATTTGGTTAACAATAAAAAATGTGTTAATTTAGTAAGGGGTATCTGATAGTCGAGGAAATCGACCACAGCGTTCTCTCTCGACCTTTTAAAGTTTCAGTCCTGCCGAAAAGTGCATGTGATATCGAAGGCTTGATGGTAATGGCCTTATTAATTAAAACTTGGATTCTCAATGTTGCTATTGTTACGTTCCGTAGAGAATCCTTCCTTTGCTCCCTCATCTTGGAGCTCCGGCATATTGAGAGTGCAGCAAGCGGCGGACGGCAGCAAGAAATTCCATAAGGACTCCAAAACTTTCCACTTGCCACGCCAAACTAATCGGATTTAATTTAATTAGTCACTCAAACTCAGCGAGCTGCGGTAAGTGGAAAACACCGGCGGCGACGAAAGTTGCGAGGAGTGCAGAGACAAAGTACTTTTTCATTACATTTTTCCAGGACCAGGGGGCAGATAGCCGCATGTCGCGCGGCAAATTGTCAGGTGCTAAGCTTTGATAAAGTACGCTCTCGAGGGACTGGGAGGACTCGCAGGACAATGAATAAAAAGCTAAGCTCGACCAGGTAAAATGCGGGGAGAAAGCCCCAAGCCAAATGCAGACAGAAACATTTATTAAACGCGGTCCGCGAGTGCTCTTTTCAATGTTTGTTTTTCTCCGCATGCAAAAGCATAAATTCTACGTTTATGGGGAGAGTAAGTACATTTTGCTTTTTAAGGCCACAGCTAATATGTCACTGCACGAACTTTCAATTTATAATTTATTAATTACACGTATGTATGAATCAGAATTCTAACATTTTCGTAACAACAAATTATCAAGAAAATACTTATCAAATAAGTACTTAACATTGTAAAAATTAAAATCTTCAATTAAGGTAAGGACGTAACCCATGTCTTGGACAAAGAATCAGTTTCCAGATTCAAAACCAACTAACGCATAAACTACGTAGTTATGTAGTCGAGTATATGAAGATTGTGAGTTCCGAAATTCGACGCATAAACGAAAGCGCAATGCCTTTCCCTCTCTCTTCCCCATCGCAGGGCAAAGTTTCCCGTTAAAAGTTTAGTATGGGAAATTGGTGGAATAGGTGCTGGGGAGGGGAAGCTGAGGTAAAGGTAACTGAAACGTTGGCATCGCTGATTTCAAGCAAATTGGCCGCCCATGTGCGTGCGTGTGTGTGTGAGCTGGGTTTTTTGTTTATGGAAAGTGTTATTGTTTGACTTTGAACTTTCCGCTTGTTTGCTGTCCTTACTCCTGTGAATGTGTGTGTGTGGGTGTGTGCTTTGGACCAAAGCCGAGAATGGCCCAAACAATATAATCAAATTTAATGCGCTCATATTTCATGGGCCAACAAACGCACGCACAGACTTGCAAAAAATGGATCTCGAAAACCCAGGGCTGGGCAAATAAATAAATCATCGAGCCAACTTTATCGCTTTATTTTTTAACGCACTGCCAGAATGATTGAAACGTTTCAGTCGCATAAAACGGATTTGCACGCATATGAGGCAAAAACACTCTTGTTTTTTCCCCAAGCGATTTGTTTTCTATTTTTTCTGTTTAACTTTTTACAGCCATAAATGGGATTTCAATAAGCCGTTCTGAATCCAAATAAAAGGTTTCTCGGTTGTACAATTTATTATCAGCTTTGCGATAAGTTAATATCTGCAAATTGTCAAGCGTGTGTCATTTTACCTTTAATTGATATGTTTTTAAGTTAGCTGCTTAAACAAGCGATAGGAAAACTTTCTCATCAGCTTTGATAACAATTGGCGCATTCAATATCGATTATGATCAACTTTTTACGTCGCTGGGCCCACAGAAGTTGGTACACAGACACCCATGAATGGATCTACTCGGCTAAGGACTCTTATCAAGAATATGAATATGTGTATGTATGCACTTAAAAGGATCGGAAAACCTTCCTTACCAATATTGCATACTTTTCAATGAATCTTCTATACTCTTTTAATGTAATAACGCACAAGCCAAAAATAATCACTATTCTCGTCTATTAGCACAAGCCTATGTAATATACAAATCCCTTCCAAGGGAATATTTAATTAAATGCTATACATTTTTTAGAATATTTTAGGAACTGTATTTTTTATTAACATATATATAAATTTCATATTATTCAAATTCATAGTCCCAGTTTAAATTATCGCTTTTAAACCATCTTTAAGTATTCTTGATTTAAATGCAGATCACATGTATTTTAAATTAGTTTTATATAATATTAGCACCAACTCACACGGTCACTCAAAAATGGTCTAGCTCTTCGAATAAGTTATTTTATGCACAGCTTCCGTATTCCGCGATAAGGAGAAAGATCTCTAATTACGCCGAGTTCAGTAAACGACAAAACTTGGTGGGGTTTTTCGGTGCAACACACAATGTTACGAAGATACCGAAAATCGAAGCTTTTTAACGCGGACGCCCAATGGCGGAGGTGTTTTCACAACTATTTTTAGTAGTCCATAGCCATACGGTTTAGTGTTCCCTTGTTGCTCGCATTTTCTCGCCGACACTTGGGTTTTGATAAGCTCGCGATTTGCACAATTAATAGAGTCGGGCTGTGATGGCGCGGGAAACGCGGGGACGGGTCAAGCATCCGCGGCACTTATTGTGATTTTCTTGGGTTGCGAGAGCGCTTTGTGCATTTAATAGGCACGATAAAAGCAGCGGAGCTTTGAGCATTAACGCAGCAACAGATAACACAATGTTATTTTGCTAAGCTTATACCAATTAGTGAACACTTAAGTTTGTTACACAGCTCAAGCAGCTTGGACTCACTTGACAATATTTATTTGGATTTGCAAAATTTGCGTTTTAAACTTTGTTTGGCGCCAAATGGCCAATCCATCCCTAGTAGTGCCTCGTGATCAGCTGATTTCAGTGCCTATCAACTTATATGTACATTTATCGATTACAGCTTCGCCGCTATTCCAGCATATTGGCATCAAACGGTCACTCTGCTCGCCAGAGTTCATACTCACTGCTTATAATTTCAACTAATTTCGTACGTGTCTCGCTTTAGAGGGCATTATGGTCGACAATTTAGAGCCCCTGGAGCCCAGCCTGCAGAATCTCGTCGAGCAGGACTCCCTCAAGTGGATCTTCGTGGGCGGAAAGGGCGGCGTGGGCAAGACGACTTGCAGGTGAAACAACAACAACAAAAGGCAGCTTTCTTGACCGATCTCTGTTAATTTCTGCTTTATAGTTCTAGCCTGGCCGTTCAGCTATCGAAAGTGCGCGAATCGGTGCTGATCATATCCACAGATCCGGCGCACAACATATCGGATGCATTCGATCAGAAGTTCACCAAGGTGCCCACAAAGGTTGGTGGACGACTCCAGAAATGAAGTCATGTACCATTGGGTAAACTGAACTGAAATATCCGAATCCATTTTCACACCCAGGTTAATGGCTTCGACAACCTGTTCGCCATGGAAATCGACCCCAATGCCGGTCTTAACGAGTTGCCGGAGGAGTACTTCGAGGGCGAAAACGAGGCGCTGCGCGTGAGCAAGGGCGTCATGCAGGAGATGATCAACGCCCTACCCGGCATCGACGAGGCGATGAGCTATGCGGAGGTGATGAAGCTGGTCAAGGGCATGAACTTCTCGGTAGTCGTCTTCGACACGGCGCCCACGGGACACACGCTGCGTCTGATTGCATTTCCTCAGGTGGTGGAGAAGGGGCTGGGCAAGCTGCTGCGGCTTAAGATGAAGGTGGCGCCTCTGCTGTCACAGTTCGTCTCCATGCTGGGCATGGCTGATGTGAACGCGGACACACTCTCCCAGAAGCTGGACGACATGCTGCGCATAATCACCCAAGTCAACGAGCAGTTCAAGAACCCAGTGCGTAGAAGCATGTATTTAGCTCTGACTACGCCTAATCTCCACTCTTTCTTCGACAGGAGCAAACCACATTCGTCTGCGTGTGCATAGCAGAGTTCTTTTCGCTGTACGAGACAGAGCGGCTGGTCCAAGAACTAACCAAGTGCGGCATCGACGTGCACAACATCATTGTAAACCAGTTGCTCTTTCTGCAGAACTCACACGACTCGTGCAGCATGTGCGCCTCCCGCTTTAAGATTCAGGAAAAGTACCTGGACCAGATTGCCGACCTGTATGAAGACTTCCACGTAACCAAGCTGCCGCTCCTCGAGAAAGAGGTGCGCGGTCCAGAGAGCATCCGGTCATTCTCCGAGAACCTTATGAAACCCTATGAGCCAAAGGGAAAGCCCAAGGAATAGAATGACCCGTCCAACCCTTTACCCATCCGTTTGTAAGTTTCTTCCTTAGTTCGTGTAAACAGAAAGTGCGTAAAATAAATTAAAGTTGAGGTAGCTATCCCTGAAGGTAACTGCTTCGACGTGTAATGCATAGACGGTCAACGGATGCTGTATTCCAAAGAGAGGGTGACAAGGAAGGACACTTTCAAAGGCCGCCCCCGGCCCGCTCCATTTGCATTACGATGGGAAAGTTGCTGCCTTGCATCTGCTTTTTGTGGTCCAGATACAGACGTGCGTAGCGCAGGTACTCGGTGTTGCCCTGCACAATAGCCGACATGAGCAAGAGGAACTCGTAGAGGTTCACCTTGCCCTGGGCATGGACATCAATGTCCCGCAAGACATTGTGCATCAGGTCGACGGGCACCTCCTTTACGCCCATCGTTTTCATGGCCCTGCAGCAGTCTGCAATCGTCACGTACCCTGTTTTGTTCTTATCCATTCGCCTGAATTGCCCGGCAAACTTCCGCACTTGGCCCACACTCATCTTGATGGGAATGCTCAGCTGGGAGGCACTCTCCTTGGTCAGCTGGCCCATCTGAGAGTTAAGAAAAGTGCGCGTCTTGCGGATCTGCTTCTTAATTTGATCTTGCGTCCAGTTCAGCTCCTTGGCCATGATGTTGGCCACTTGCGGTAGTATCTCCTCGGCCACCTGGACATTTAGGAAGGCCACTCGTAGTCGCCGAGCCACCATGTCCTCCAATGTGCAAGCGAAGTCCCGAACGCCCTGCCTTACCTCTGCCTCGATGTACGGGAACTCCGAATGAAGTCGCTTCCCCAAAATGGGCCATGCCTTTCCACTGCTGTCCGCGCTCACGGCCACTTTGAAGGCATTCGATCCGTAAGTGTTCGACAGGTGCACAGCGACGTCGCGCTCCATTCCAAAGTCCTGCACCAGCCGGATAAACATCTTCGGACCCCACCCACTGGCTCCATCCAGTTTGCAGGACTCTGCGGTCACCGATTCCTTACGCAGCGGTGAAAGATCTCCATACCGGATGGCTGCATTGACGGTTTTCTCAGCCAAAACCCGAAACGACGACCAGGTGCCACCAACAATGGAAAGCATATTTCGGGGCCCTAGCTGGATTACATGGTTCTTGAAAAGAGTGTGGTGCAAGGAATCGGACTGCACGGGCAGAGGCTTGTAACCACCCCAAACGGCCAGTACATCGCATCTTCGCACATCAAAATTGGGCGTTACAAAGTGCTTAACGCAATCTAGTAGAGACTGCACATCCGTCTCCGTGGGCTGAGTGTCCTGCTCAGGCAGATTGAGAGGCTCATCGCTGGATCCCACTAGCGTATGGCCCTGCCAGGGCAGGAAGAAGATCGATCGGCCATTGGGCGTGTGTGGATCAAAGACGCCCACCTCCTCTGGACAGTAGAAGCGGGGCATGACGATGATCGAGGACCAACTGCGCGTGCAGAGCGGTTTGGCTTCCGAATCTTCCATCTGACGAAGGCTGTCGCTCATGTGACCAGTGGCGTTGACCACCACCTTCGCCCGTATACTGTACTTCTTGCCTGACAGCTGGTCCACCGCCTCCGCGCCCGCCACATTGCCCTCCTTGTTCTTGATGAGTCTCGAGACCTTCATGTGGTTGCAGATATCTGCTCCGTATCGAGCCGCTGTAAGAGCCACCGAAAGGCACATCCTGGCGTCATCGTGTTGGCCTTCGTAAAAGACGAAGGCGCCAAACAGCTCCTGGCGTCGCAACATCGGAAATACTTCCAACGCCTCGTCGGCACTCAGATACTGAAAACTTCTGGTCGTCTTGGGCGCCATCAGGTGGTAAATCTTTAGCTTCATGTAGTAGAGCGGGGCCTCCCACCAGTGGTGGACGGGCAGCAGGATGGGAACTGGCTGGCTGAGGTGCGGCGCCATATTGCCAATGTGGCTGCGCTCCTGCAAGGAGCTGCGAACCCTCCGAAACGCAGCCACGTCCAGACGCGAGATGGCCTGCTCCAGATCCCTTAGGCCGCCGTGCAACAATTTGCTCGATTTGGAGGAAGTGCCGCTGCCAAAGTCATTCGCTTCCACCAGGGCGGTCTTCAAGCCCCGCGTAGCAGCATCGAGAGCACAACCGGAACCCACGGCACCGCCGCCAATAATGAGGATGTCGTAGTGGGTTCGCTTGAAGGCCTCCAGACACATCTTTCGTGTGGGCAGATCCCGCTTCATCTGCGGCACTGAAGTCGGGTCCGTTTGCCTTTCATCAAATCCGAAGGCGCCGTGGCCCAGCTTGGAGCTGCCCAGCATCACCGCCATTTGTAGAATCTTAGCCATGGTATTACCCCTTGCTGTACACACCGAATTTTGACTATATCTGCGAGGGCAGACAATATATCTGACATCTGACGGAACCAAAAAAACGGAAAATTTGGACGGGTTTGCTTGCTTTTGGAAATATGTTTAATGTACATACAAGTGAATAAAAACTTTCTGTTTTCGTTCCGTGCCTCAAATGTTGGAATATCAATGGGATAAATTACTTTAGAGTCTAGACCCGCCGTCTGAAGGAATTACACGTGTAGAGGGTTGTACAAAATCGCCAAATGCCAAAATTATCGTTAAAACTTAGCACAAATTTACTATAAAAATCTTTCCCGCTCCACTGTCCCGCTCCTCATGTTACTTTTGAGCTCTCGTAAATGAACTAAGGACTCTGGAACGGGTTGGAAAGTCTCTGCTGGGCATTGTGGCTCCTCCTACTGCTTAGCACCGCCAAAGAAGAACTTGTAGAAGAGCGTGGCCACCAAGCACAACACTAGGGGCACCAGCCACGACTTCACAGAGCTCTCCTCGGTTTGCTGGTCCGTGCTCCAGGTCGGCTCTGACTTCTGGGCCACGCTTGTCCTTTCGCTCTCCACCAGCTCTCCGATTTTGTACTTCTTCATCATGTCGCGGGCATCGTTGCTGTGGCCAACGTCCTCAAAGTTCTCCGTGGCATCCTTGCCGGCCTGCTCGATGAGCACCTCTTCGCCACCGGGATGCTGTTGTGAAAGAAAAGAACCAGATAAATATTCGCATAAATAACTGCTAGCTTGCAGGAATGCTAATGGAGGTCTGACCCTGAATTTC